GGCTGGCAAATAGGCTTCTCCACAACCCAGGGAAGCAGGGCAATTTGCCATTTAAAGGGCCCGTTACAAATAGCAGTTTGTAACAAGGTGTCAATCCATATCTGCCAAGTGACCCGGCTGTAGGGGAACAGTCCCTATTCTGCTCTGTGTGTCAGTGTGTATCATGGTCTCTGAGGACAGGTGTCAATCCATATCTGCCAAGTGACCCTATGTAGGGGAACAGTCTCATTCTGCTCTGTGTCAGTGTGTGTATCATGGTCTCTGAGACAGGTGTCAATCCATATCTGCCAAGTGACCTTATGTAGGAACAGTCCCTATTCTGCTCTGTGTCAGTGTGTATCATGTTCTCTGAGGACAGGTGTCAATCCATATCTGCCAAGTGACCCTATGTAGGGGGAACAGTCTCTATTCTGCTCTGTGTCAGTGTATATCAGGGGCTCTGAGGACAGGTGTCAATCCATATCTGCCAAGTGACCCTATGTAGGAGGAACAGTCCCTATTCTGCTCTGTGTCAGTGTGTATCAAGGATCCTTAGGACAGGTGTCAATCCATATCTGCCAAGTGACCCTATGTAGGGGGACCAGTCCCTATTCTGCTCTGTGTCCGTGTGCATCAGGGGCTCTGAGGACAGGTGTCAATCCATATGTCAAGGTGTCAATATGTCATATGTCGGGTGTCAATCCATATTCAATGTGATTTAGGAATGTTAGGTGATTTCTGCCCTTTATGGATTAAAACCAGACTCTGTATCAACTGTGTAATTTTCCATGGGAGTTTTGCCATGGATCCCCCTCCGGCATGCCACAGTCCAGGTGTTGAAACAACTTTTCCATCACTATTGTGGCTAGAAAGAGTCCCTGTGTGTTTTAAAATTCGCCTGCCCATTGAAGTCTATGGCGGTTCGCCCGGTTCGCCGGTTCGTGAACATTTGCGGAAGTTCGCGTTCGCCAACTATCTACCTGACCAAGCTGCCAAACAAGCTGCAAGTAAACCAAGGGAAGTGGACAGAAGAGTGTCCGCCGAAGAAACTCCCATATTCACCATGTAAGATCCTATCCACAGATCTCAAACTCCTGAAGGAATAACAAGCAGCTGCTGACCCTGAAGAAATACAAAGCTGGAAACAGAAAGGGGCAACCCTTAAAGACTGTCTGTACTCCAACAATCTCGAGTTCTGTTTACCCAAGAACATGTACTCAGCAGTGGTCCAGTGGGCCTACGGAGCATCATATCTGTCCAAGACCCTCATGAACTCTTTGATCAACAAATACTCTGAAGCACCTGGAATTACCTCTCTGACCTGTTACTGCAGATCCTGCACCATTTGTGCCAAGGGCAACTCGGGCAGAAATGAAGAAAAGCCCCAAGCATCTAGCCAAACCTCATTATCCCTTCCAAAGAATCCAAGTTGACTGCATCCAGATGCCAAAGAGTGGCCTGCTCATATATGCACTAGTTATAGTAGACATGTTTTCAGGATGGCCAGAGGCCTACCCAGTCACCAATGTGACAACCAAGACCACATGCCAAGTAGTACACCGTGAAAGTTGCAGAGATCACCCAGTGGACTCACCATTCCAGAATGAAGCCTGCCTCTGCTCCATGGGAAGTAGCATTTGTTGATCTTGACAACCATTTTGAAACTCCATTTTAAGAGAGTAAAGATATTTGTTAGAGAAAATATCAACAAGTAGGTATTTTTATGGCCATAATAATGCCTGACCACCTGCCATCGATGGAAAGCCGAGGACCCCAAAAGGAGACCTCGTGAAGCAAAAGAGAATCAGACGTACTCCTTACCCTGCAGCCCTCAGATCCGGAAACTGACGTGCCTACGCATAGTCGAAGCTTTTTCAGGATCATCTGCTCATCTTGAATTTGTGGTGATATTAATATTGAATAAATGATCTGAGTCCACCAGTACTAAGGTAGCATGGGATAGGATTTATACGATAAAGAATAAGTAAATGTGCCCTAGCCAAGGTTATTATACCCATACATATAATATCTGACAAACACCAAGATACCCCTGATCCATTAAATTCCAACTTCAGGACACAAAGAAACAGGGCAGGGTTGACCCACACATATATATTAATGCCATACGGGTGCCAAGGGGGGTACCAAATAATTTCAAAGTAAGAGACGAAGTTTGAATCTATTCTCCCAAGCATTACAGCTAATAAAAATTTGAATTGAAATTAATTATATCTAGTATACCAACAACGCTTTGTCAATTCCACCAGAGATGCTCTCCAGGGCCTGGCAGAGCAATTACAAGCTACGTCCCAGATGACCTTCCAAAATAGAATGGCCTTAGATATGATTTTGGCAGAAAAAGGGGGAATATGTAAAATACTCCCTGACACCATGACATGTTGTATCTTCATTCCAGATAACGCAGGCCTTAATGGTAGGGTTACTCTGGCAATAGAGAAGCTATGGAGTCCCTCTGAAAAATTGAAAAAGGAATTCTGGGGTCACTGATCCGTGGGACAGCTGGTTTGGATGGATGAATGATTGGCAGAAAGTTCTGACCCAGATAGGTGTGGCTGTCTTGATAATGTTGATTATTCTTGCTCCTATTGTCTGTTATGTGTTACCTGTATTAAGAAGTGCCTACAGAAGACAGTTGACCAGACAGCTGACTGGACTACCCCAACTTTCCCTCACCAAGAGATTAATGACAAAGACCGTGACACACCTCACATATCCCTACAGTCTCACCGCACTAAGCATGCAACTACATCTCTTTAGGGAATCATAGGGACAGCATCTGTCCACATGGGCAAGTCTGTAGCAGGGGATTTAGTGGACAAGCCACTATTTGTCTGAAGCACAGCACCCAGAAGAGTTTGAGAGGTCCGTGGGACAGATATGCGACAGCCTATTAGGGACAGTATTAGGGTTAGATATAGTAGTTGTTAGTAAATAGTCATTTTAAGGGGGGACTGTTATGGACAAAATATTAGAATTAGTAAAATGTCTATTTACTCTGTGTATCTGTGCTAATTATTCACTGTGTTACCCTGGCTGTGTTTAGTAGCTGCTTCCCCTCTAACCCCTCCCTTCCTTTGTTCCGTAACTCTTCCATCGACCACTACCTCGTGTAACAAGATGTGTAAAAAGATGGTGCTGGAATGTGTAGGAGAGTTCCATGTTAGTAATGACATCATGCCCAGTAGGATGGAATTAGATGAGACTCCTTAAAGTGTAACCAATTGTTGATGTATTTTCCCTGTTATCTATAATTATGCATGTGACGTATTTCTGTCTTCATAAGGGGCTTCCCACCCCTCGGAATAAAGCATTCCTGAGTTTTTCAAAAACCTGGAAACTTGAGTCTGGTGTGAATTACTTTAGGAAGCATGGACGCACTCAATTTCAATAATTTGGAACAGGGGCAGATATTCAAAAAATCAAACACTTGACTTGATCCAAAACAGTATGTGACAGTCTCTGGGTCAGTGTGTATGTATAGCTGTACTTTTGTCAATGTATATACCTGTGTCAGTATGTGTGTGTATCTGTGTGTGGCAGTGTTTGTGTATATGCCAACACATCCATGCATTCAAAGACCAACACACAGACAACCCTTCACTCAAATGTCAGCACTACACACAAATTCACACCTACATTAAAATGCCAACACTACACACAAATGCACAGCTGCGTGCAAATGCCAACACTACATACAAACACACCACTATATTCAATGGTAACAATGCGTACAAACATGCTTACATTAACAACAAACACACATACACTGCTCACAAAAAACAACGCTGCAAGGATGGGGAAATGGTAGATCTCCAGCTAGAGTTCCACAATAGTTAAGTGAAAGGGTTAATGTTGTAATGGACTCTAATCCCCTCGGTTCTCGATCCCTCGGTCACCATAATCAACGTTGATGGAGAATCATTGTAAGCACTATCACACGGACAACAGCTTTACAAGACTCTCAAATGAGTGTATTCCAGAGCTGGCTTTTATACATAGTTTGCTTACATTAGCCATGGTATATGCAAATACAGTACAGACTATAAGATTTATTACTTCCTTATATTACGTTATTCTGACAATGGAAAGATAAGCTTTTGCATACGTCTGGAAAAGAATATCCTTAAAATCGGAATGGGCAAGACATCCTGAAATTTAGCATTGTCTTACATCCTATAGAAGAAATACCTTAGTCTGTCACAGTCAGCATATTATGTCGTACATTGACTTTAAGTATTCAATATCCCTTCAGTCAGCAATAATCATGTTATAAACCTTATAAAAGCATAAAATACATATAAACAAGTTAACTATTTAATATTCTTACATTCCCCTCTTTGAGCAATAAAACAATTGCTCATCTTATCGATAAAATCTTACCAGGACAGAGAAACTCCACATGGTATTTTCAGGGGTGCTAGTCACTCCCTGCGGGACTTTCATTAATTTCTTCACCTCGATTCCCATGTGGTAATTCCTAAGGCCCAGTTTAAAGATGGGTTGATACCCTCCAGTGGCAGAGAGGAGAATTTCTAATTGTTTCTGTTCTGCATTATGGATTAATTTCTGTACTCTCTTCCTCAATGTACAAACAAGATGACAGTTATATAAAATCATACACAATAAAATCAGGACTATAATAACAAAAGGATAGAAGAATGATTTCATTATCTGGGATCCAGTAGGGGACCAACCAGTAAAGCATTGTACCAATGATGGGCTAAATCATTCTGAATTTGTGAACTCACCTTAAGGAGTTCTCCTTTTAGGATATGTGTGGCTACCTGTGTGTGTTATCTTTGGGGAAAATATAGTCCCCTGTGTATGTGGGTGCCCACCAGGTTAAATTCTTGGCAAAAAGATCATAAACTGGTACTGGTAATGTGTTAAATTGACAAGCAAATTTAACATCCTTTGATGTTGTATGATATAATGTAAAATAGCATGAGCATGAAAAATGTGAAGCATTACCAGTTAACCATCTATTGCATTTAGTGGATTGGGGTTTTAGAAGTAACCATTCATTATCTGTGAGGTTAAGCATCCCTCTAATCTTCTCTAGTTGAGGAATCATTAGTGTGTTTTCTAATGCCAATCCTTGTTGTTGTATCCATAAATACCTGATGGCACAAGTACTCCAGTTACTTAGACCTGTAGTGAATTTCATAGTTGCAACAGTTAAATTATCTAAATAATTATACATTGATTTATCTAAATCCAATCCTGTAACCTGTGATTTAACAATTGGAGCCCAGTTTGCAGTAGCATGGAAACCAGTCCCTATATGCATGCTGGCTGTGTTTAACTTATTCTTGAGGGTCTCCATATCTATAACTATTTAGTATACCCATAGTGGTTCCAGCACCATCTAACAGTGTGTCATACCATTCCCTTTTCTGCCTTTTGTTTGTTGTGTTACATAATGTTACAACAGGAGTAGTGATTTTTAATGACACATGTACAGCTTGTAAGAAGGCAGTTGTATTAATACATGTGGACGGAATAGGTGTGTGTGTGTCGTTGTTGACTTTTGGTTCTATGGTAGAGGATAAAGGACAGTAATAAGGTGTAAAAATATAAGGTAGTGTATAGTTCTCAATTGTAGTGTCGTTCATAATGACTAACATTTGTCCCCTTCTCCAATTAATGATACCAGTTATATAATCATTATTAAATGTAATAAGGCCTGTCTGTTTACATTGATATGCAACCTTAACTGTGCACATTTCTGCGTTATAAGATCTAACAATTTTCTGTGAACCTTCAAACAAACATAATGCATCGGTTTCATTAGCTGTAGACACATTTCATATGGGTAACTGGTACTTATAAGGGTTACTATTTGTCCAATTCATCCAAATGCGTTCATTGAATGAATGATTGCATATTGCATGCTGATAGAAAGGTGGTGGAGAAAGGTTCTTGAGGGAAGGTGTGTGACGAATGCTAGATGAGGGGCTAAGGCCTAATTGGGCTGGGGGTATTGAAGAATTGTTCATCATGTCAGAGTCTTTTTCCAGAACTTGCCATTGACTTGTACTCATAATGGCATTCAAGGAACAATATCAGAGGGAGTATAACAACTCCAGAAAGCATAGCGCACAACATAATCTTGGTCTCAGGTACGTATGATCCTCTCAATCTACGATATGGTGTAAAAGCCATGATGCTTCGCTGAGGAGAAATTCTTCTGTTTCCGAGCGAGGAGTGGTGTTGTCTTCCTTGGTTCCCCTCTTTGGACACAGCTTCACTCGGGATGCGTGAATCCAGATGTCATGGGAATCTGTGAGGACAGCGGTTCTGGTTACAGCAATCACAGTAGCAGGTGGTCCAAAAGGGTATCCTCCTTTCTTGGTCCTGTTCAGCTGACGGATATACACCTTGTCACCGGGCTGGTATGAATGAGTAGGTTCCTGTGAAGGTAAGGGAAAACTGCGAAGAAACATTGTCATACATACCATTCAGTTTTATCAACAATTCCTGTACATATTGTTCTTGTATTAGCTGTAAATCCCCAGACATTATAACAAGCGGTTCCCTGGCCCAGGGTGTGGGAAAAGGTCATCCCATCAAAATCTCAAATGGAGATAATTTAGTCACCTTGTGGGGATATATTCTTATCTCAGCTAAAATAGTTGGTAGATATCTAGTCCAATTTACCCATGTTCCTGGGTAAATTCTGGGCTTTTCCTTAATAGTCCTATTCATCCTTTCAACTACCCCTGTATTCTGTGGATGATAGGGTATATGAAACTGCCAGGTAACTTGCAAGAATTTAGCAAGTTCCTGGGCAACCCCACTTGCAAAAACCGGGCCATTATCAGAGCCAATCTGCAGAGGGCAGCCATACCTGGGAATAATTTCAGTAACAATAATCTTCACTAGCATCTTCCCTAGATGTCACAAAGGCCTCATGCCATCTACTAAACTGATCAACTATGACCAGTAAGTATTGCTGTTTCTTACCAATTTTGGATACATGAATAAAATCAATCTGTAAGTGTGTAAAAAGAGCAGCGTTCACACGATCTTACAAAAGACTGTACATGCTGCCTGAGATTCCTAATATAAAATGAATTCATGAAGAATTGAATGGTGCTTGCTATGTGCCTGACTGATGAAAATAAAGCAGCTTGCTTCAAGTATGCCTATTCTTCAAGTATGCCTATTCTTCAAGTATGCCTATTCTCCCCTCTTTAGAGAACAGATCATTTTGATCTTTCTCTAAACCTTGTTTAATCCAAAAGACAGATTCTGGGTATTTAAAAAAAAAAAAAAGAATCTCATAACCACTGAAGCGCTGGGCTGTCATGTGTTGTATGGTGATATTTATTATCAGCTGAGTGACCTGGTGACTGGCATGAAGTATTGTATGATGCCCTAGTGTGATAGTAGTAGCAGTTTCAACAGCCATTGCACATGCTATCAATGCTCTGAGACACGCCGGCATACCCTGTACCGGAGCTCGAACTACTTTGGAAAAGAATGCTATGGGACGCATACCGCCTCCTTGCTCTTGTGCACAGACTCTGGCCATGGTTTTACAATTGTCCCAAGCATACAAATGAAATGGTTTACAATACACAGGTAGTCCTAAAGCCTGGGCTTGCACAATAACAACTGTAAGGGCAATATATGCAGCTAGCATGTCTGGTGACCAGCAGACATTTTCAGGGCTGTCAGAACGTATAGCCTCCCTTAGGATTGAGTCATAATGGGAGCATTCAGGGATCCATGGTGGCAGTAATTAATCATGCCGAGGAAGGTGAGCAACTCCTTCCGAATAGTGGGTGTAGGAATCCTCTGAATGACCTCAATACATTTTGGACTCAATTGTCTGGTGCCTAAAGCCAGAACAAAACCTAAGTATTCAACCTTTGATTTACACAATTGCATTTTGTGTTTAACAACCTTGTGACCTACAGTTGCTGACAGTATCCACAGTGCTTGCCTCATAGCTAGGGCTACATAACAACAAATCATCAACATTTTGCAAAAAGGACGGAACCATGACCGATGGTCCATGTTTTTTTTAGAGTATGTTGGAGTACCAGCAAATAAACAGCTGGGGAATCCACATAGCCTTGGGTAAGCGTGTCCAGGTAAACTGACAGCCTTCAAAAAGTAAAAACCATAAGTAGCTGTGTCTCTTGATCAATAGGTATAGAAAAAAAATGCATTACTTAAATCAATGACAGTGAAGCAAGTGGCATCATGTGGAATGGCTGTAATGAGGGATGTCACATCAGGGACAATGGGTGAAATGGGCACAATTAAACTATTCAGGGCTCTAAAGTCCGGAACTAAGCGATATGCTGGCCAGTGGTGTTGGGAGTGGGTCTGGTGTTGTTCTTGCCTACAGGGCATATTTTGAGAATTGTGGGGTTGTTGGGGTGTGTGGGGTTTCCTGGGGTGTGGACACTCATTCCTCCAGTGGCCATATTGGCCCACAGTTGAAACAAGTGTTCCTGTCTATTCCTCCTTGGTTACCCCTGCCCCTATAACCCTGATTTCCCTGTCTCCATCCCCTTGCCCCTCTTTGACCACCCCTTCCGCGGGCTTTATGTGCTCCATCCCATCCTTGCTCTCATCCTGTGTAGCTGGACATAATATGTTGCAATCCCTGAGCATAATAAGCAACCTTACTTTCCTAAACCTTTTCTTAATTCAAAACAACCTGCATTTTCCTTTTCTATAACCTTGGTAAGAAAATCTGAGCTATCCAAATTGGCCCAGTCTGAAATCAATTGTTTCACAAGCAAATAATACTGTGGCAACATATTACCAAGGCATGACTGTATTTTAAAGAGATCTATATCATCTCCAGACATCAAACCTGCCTCATCCTTCCAACACTTGTAAAATTTCTTTACAAAAATCATATTACCAATCTCTTCCTTTGCATCTTGCTTATATGCCAAAGCAGTGAATATAGACTGCCTATTCTTCCATAATCCCAACATTTCAGCTTCCACCTTGTTCCAAATTTTAGCACATCTTACTGAAGTACTAAGCTCATAATCACCAATTCATTTCAAACCATATAACTCATACTCAGCATCCAATGTAATATTACACGTCATCTCACAAAACAATATCTTTGTAAAAACACATAATGGGTACCCAGCAGATATGCCAATACAGAAATCACATTTATGGGCACACAACTACACACTCTGTGTCCTTCCTAGGAAACACGGATAGACACAATATAAAAGCAATCTTAAACTAACACCTCCAAATCTCCAACTATTCTTGGCCAAAACGCTAGTATTCAACAACTAATAAAACAGTTATTTGCTAGGTTATTTGGCTGTCATTCTTATCAGTATCACTAGACTGTGACAAACTGATTCACATATAATTTAAAACAATACAGCAACATATAAATTAAACCACAAGTTAAACTGCACACTTATCACACATTATCACAGTCACCATTTACACAGAATAAACAGCTGTATTCAGAACATATTATTGGAAGGTATACCAATTTTAGTTTAGATTTATTTTAGGGATTCTTATGTATACATTTTCTTAATTAACTTCATTACTTTAATCTACTATAGTATTGTATTTAAAGAAAGGATCCATTTATATAGCGCGCTCATAACTCAACTATTTGTATGAAACTACCATTAACTAATCTGAGATGATGCTGCATCAACTTAAATCCTATAGAAATTGAACAAACATCTGGACCAGATTAAACAGACATGGTTTCACCTGAATCTTTCAGAACTCTCAGAGACTTAAAAAATTTATACTATACCATGTTTTAAAGGCATGGCAAACCTTTAGACCGGTCAGTCTCCAAGAGCCCTTAGTAACACAGGTAAAAACCTTTTGTCCATGATGTCTGATTCAGGCTATATACCACAATTTAAAAATAACACATAATGTGAGACATAGAAGACACAAGCAGTAGTTATTACACTGGATCATTTAAAAGGAACCTGTTGCAATAAAAAGGTTAGTTTACAGTGCAAAATGAAGCATGTGTTGGACCGCTGAAAATGTAAATGTTGCTCTGTTATTTTCAAACATAAATCATATTTAGTATGGATCCTTTGCAACAAACACACAGGGCAGGGAAGATGTGCTGATTGGTGTTTCTATACAATTAATCCCATATGGGGAATTAACTTTCAAATACTAATGAAGTGACTTTTTGTCTCAGTTATAAAATATACTGAGCTCATCATGCAAACAATGTACAAACACATTTACACTATCCCACTCTCATAATAAGTGTAGTGGGCTTATAGTATTTTTAAAGCAACAATCATTCCAGGCACACAGTTCCCATGTGAAATAACTTACAATAAAACAGAGTAATAAACTTATACTTCTATGCAACAGAAAGAATAAAGTAAAAAGATTTAAGTAGGTCTATCAGGTACAACCTATGAGTCATTTCTTTTCTAATATACAGTACTGCTATCTTGCAGAAAGATAAGTCCTGCGCTCACTCCCATCACTACTGGGCAGCAGCAAGGACTACAGTACACATCAGCCCCAATATATGGTAAAAACCAAAGAAAAACAAGTTACCTGCATTCTCTCCTTAATCCCTATGTATTTTTAAAACCTCCATTTGTTTAAAAGTACTGCTATCTTATATATACACATATACATATACACACACATATATACATACATATATATGGTCACTCAGGACATGAACTCACATTTCCCATACTGCTGACTCAGAGTGGGGACACTACTAACTTACCAAAGTGTGTCCCCAATATAGACAAACAATCACCAACAAAGAACACTTAAGACAAACAAAGGTGACCGGGAGAAAGAGAAGTTTGGGTTATACTTATAGATCTACAAACCGTGCTGCTCAGAACACCTATAGACTTAATAAACCGGAGACCTCTTATGGTCTCAAAAACCTGTATCTACCTGAGATACCCTGTATCTATCTTAGATACTAACCTGGGTTACCAAAACCCTATAATAAACCGGAGACCTCTTATAGTCTCAATATAACTAGAGTCCTTACACCTTTCCTATCTACTGGATACAGTCTTACTGAACCAAACGGGGGTCATAGACAATCAGCGTCAAATAAGACACAAAAAGGCTACTCACCGCAAATGGTTTTGCTGATCCAACTTCTATCCCACTTCTAGACACCAAGCTGAAAGGGTTAATGTTGTAATGGACTCTAATCCCCTCGGTTCTCGATCCCTCGGTCACCATAATCAACGTTGATGGAGAATCATTTGTAAGCAATAACACACGGACAACAGCTTTACAAGACTCTCAAATGAGTGTATTCCAGAGCTGGCTTTTATACATAGTTTGCTTACATTAGCCATGGTATATGCAAATACAGTACAGACTATAAGATTTATTACTTCCTTGTATTACGTTATTCTGACAATGGAAAGATAAGCTTTTGCATACGTCTGGAAAAGAATATCCTTAAAATCGGAATGGGCAAGACATCCTGAAATTTAGCATTGTCTTACATCCTATAGAAGAAATACCTTAGTCTGTCACAGTCAGCATATTATGTAAGTATTCAATATTCCTTCAGTCAGCAATAATCATGTTATAAACCTTATAAAAGCATAAAATACATATAAACAAGTTAACTATTTAATATTCTTACACCCAGTCCTCAGGACCCCCTACCAGTCCAGGGTTTAGGGATTACCTGGGTGTGTCTCAGGTGTTTAGAAAAAGGGAAAAAACACCCTAGACTCTAAGGTGTGTTTTTTTTTTTCTAAACAACTTAGACACACCCAGGTAATCCCTAAACCCTGGACTGGTAGGGGGTCCTGAGGACTAATGTTGAGAACCCCTGAACTAGAGCATTGGCTATCTCCTGGGCTACTTGGGCAGAGGTTTCTTCTGACGACATATGTTGGGCAGCAACCTGGTCGTCTCCCATGACATTCATCAGACATTAAAAGCTGGATGTAGTTTCTTCATCCTAATCCTTTGGGAGAGGTGTTTTGTCCTCAGTTAACTCTCATGAATAAATTAATTTTGCAGCAGTCTGATAGTAACCCGTAAGTGATGCTGCCATGAATTATAGCCAGAAAAGAAAATTACGGTAAATATGGAGAAAATTTTCTATATTTTTAAAGGCTTGTGTGGGTTGGGGCCTAGGAGCTCGTGCAGCCACAGTCACGCCCCTGTGAAAACATTTTTAAGTCCTTTAATGGTCAATGAGCCTCTTAAAGTGTCAAAGGTCCTCTTGAGTATGATTGTTATCACTGGAATTTAACTGCTTATCATATGGTATAAAATCCTTTATCACCCATTCTAAAAATCAATTGTGATAAGTTTCTAAACCATAGGATTGTGATTGTTTTAAACGTATTAATGGCTTATTGGCAGCTGTTTAACATGTTAATAAATATTGGACATGAAGTTGTAATTTCTACCCTAATCTTCATTTTTTTAAATTTGGTGGTTAACTCACCATGATATTCTATTAATTGAATAAAAACATCTTCATAGCAAAAGCCAACCAGATGATTTTATTTTATTTTTTCATTTAAAAGAATTAACACGTTTTTGTTTATTTCATCTACTAGATATGATTACAGCAACTCTTTACTTATTTTATCATTCTTAAAATAATTAATAGAAACCAAACATAAGAGGCAATATGTAGTAGAACATTTAGCTGGCAATACCCTTGACCTCATTTTCTCTTATGCATGTACAGTATCTAATATCTGCAACCCTCCATTTCCTCTCTCTGATCACCACCTCTTATCATTTGCTCTCGAGTACCCCCTCAAGCAACAATCTCAGCCTAACCCCTCTCAACTCAGGAGGAACCTTAATTCTCTTGACCTCCAGCAGCTGTAAACTAATATTGATTCACAACTGCTATCCATCCCTTCCCTCACCGGCCATCTCCACATATAACACTACCCTCACCTCTGCCTTGAACGCTGCAGCCCCACTCCAAACATGCACCTTGAGGAAGACACACCCCCAACCATGGCATACTAAATCAACACACCACCTGCAAAGATGCTCCCGTTGTGCTGAATGCTCCTGGAGGAAGTCTCGCATCCAGTCAGACTTTCTCCATTATAGATTCATGTTCATACAGCACAGCCCTTGCCCTCGCCAAACAGTCCTACTTTTTCTCTCTCATTAGTTCATTTGTCTCTTTGACACCTTTAATTCTCTTCTTCACCCTGCTGTGGCACGCACAAACTAACCTTACTGCCGATAGCTTTGCATGTTACTTTACCGACAAGATTGAACAGCCAAGGAAAGAATTCTCCCCTCCTTGCCGTTCTCTTTCTCAACCACACATAGATCATGCTTTTCCTACCCTTCAGACTTTTTCCGTGGCTATTGATCAAGAGGTGGCTGCACTTCTCCACCCACCGCTCAGGGGTGGGGGCCAGGGCGGAGGACCTTAGGTCCCCCCTTATTAGTATTGAGTGCCCCCACCCGCAGCTCAGGGGTGGGGGCCAGGGTGGAGGACATTAGGTCCCCCACCCGCCGCCTCACATCCAATATGTTGCCAAATCCTGTAGATTCAATCTTAAAAACATAGCCCGCATCTGCCCCTTTCTTACGCAAGATGCTACCAAGGAGTTTGTCCATGCTCTAGTAATTTCCCACATGGATTATTGTAACTCTCTCCTGATTGGTCTTCCCAAAAGCCACATTGCACCACAACAGTCTGTAATGAATGCTGCCGCCAGACTGATTTTCCTCTCTAGTCAGTTTTCTCACAACTCTGTCAGTTCCTACATTGGCTTCCAGCATCCTATGAGAGTTAATTCCAGGTACTAATTCACACCTATAAAGCACTGAACAATTCTAACCCGTCATATCTCCTCACAGATCCATAGGTAAGTCCCTTCTTGACCTCTCTGCTCTGTCTGTGACCTTCTCCTGTCCTCTGTTAGCACCCGTATGGCCAACTCACGCTTGCAGGACTTTTCGGGTGCGGCTCCCTTCCTATGGAATAGCCTGCCTACCTCACATACCTGTCTCTTGCTCTCTCCTAAAGGGCAACACTCCACTCTTTCCTCCACCTCTGCTTCACTCCCAGCTTATTTGATTGCAACCTCCTGTCCTTTTGTGTTTTATACAAAAGGACTATAGACTGTAAGCTTGTTTGAGCAGGGTCATCTTCAACCTATCGTTCCTGTAATTGTCCTATTTAAAGTTAAATCCCCCCTCTCATAATATTGTAAAGCGCTACAGAATCTGTTGGTGCTATATAAATGGCAATAATAATGTATTCCTGTTTATGTTGCCCTAGTCACAATTCCTCTGGCTATGACTCACACATCCTCAATAAAAAAGGGTCTAATAATTACAGTATAGTGTGTTTACTTGGGAAGATGGTATTCCCTTCATTGTTAATTGCACAGGAGGTTTGCGGGCTCTAACACATTGTGCAAAAAGGGAAGATTTGTCAGGAAGTTTGTAGTAGGGCTTCAAAAGACTGCATTGGAATTTTATTGAAATGTAATTGTACGTGTGCAGGATTCCTGTTAAATGAGTCTGAAGGAAAAACAAAAGACAAATACCACAAAAGTTAAATTTCTGCTTTAATACAAATTAAAATATTGTGAAACCTTGAGCAATCACTGGATTATTAAAGGGACACTATAGTCACCAGAACAATTACAACTTATTGTATTTGTTCTGGTGAGTAGAATCATTACCTTCAGGCTTTTTCCTGTAAACACGGTCTTTTCAGAGAAAATGCAGTGTTTACATTACAGCCTAGTGATAACTTCACTGGCCACTCCTCAGATAGCTGTTAGAGATCCTTCCTGGGTCATGGCTGCCTAAAATGCATCCAAACATTCAGTGTCTCCTCCCTCTGCATGCAGACACTGAACTTTCCTCATAGAGATTCATTCATTCAATTCATCTCTATGAGGAGATGCTGATTGGCCAGGGCTGTGTTTGAATCATGCTGGCACTGCCCCCGATCTGCCTCCTTGTCAGTCTCAGCCAATCCTATGGAGAAGCATTGTGATTGGATCAGGCCACCACTTCTGATGTCAGCAGACAGCTTGTTTTTCTGAGGCAAACAGCATGCAAAGCTACAGCTTCAGGCTTAAATACAAGTAAGATTTTGCTATATTTATGGAGGGATGATAGGCCCAGATGGTGGTTTTAACACTATAGGGTCAGGAATACATGTTTGTGTTATAGCATCCCTTTAAGATGAAGGCTTGTGTTGAGAGGGTTCTTTATTTCTATTTTACTTTAAGTTTTCTTTTTTCCTCACTTATTTTTTTTACTGTAACTTACCTAGTTTGAAATTACTTTAGTAAGAGCTTAATTTGCTGCATGTTTTATTGCCAATAAACTTTCATTGAAAAAATAGTAAAGAAATCAACAAATATTAATCCCGTAACGACTTTCACCCCCTGAGCCACCGGATACTTACCTAGACCGGCGACCTGCTTCAGGGTAACTTGGACGTAAAAACCCAAGGGCAGAGTACAGAATATTTGATAGAGTCCTAACCTCAACATCTGAGGAAAGGAATTTAGGGGTAATTATTTCAGATGACTTAAAGGAAGGCAGACAATGTAATAGAGCAGTAGGAAATGCTAGCAGAATGCTTGGTTGTATAGGGAGAGGTATTAGCAGTAGAAAGAGGGAAGTGCTCATGCCATTGCACAGAATACTGGCGAGAGCTCACTTGGAGTATTGTACACAGTACTGGAGACCGTATCTTCAGAAGGATATTGATACCTTAGAGAGAGTTCAGAGAAGGGCTACTAAACTGGTTCATGGATTGCAGGATAAAATTTACAATACATAAACATTAAAAATAAACATTTAAATATATAAAGGGAATCAACACAGTAAAGGAGGAGACTATATTTAAAAGAAGAAAAACTACCACAACAAGAGGACATGGTCTTAAATTAGAAGGGCAAAGGTTTAAAAATAATATCCGGAAGCATTACTTTACTGAGGGTAGTGGATGCATGGAATAGCCTTCCAGCTGAAGTGGTAGAGGTTAACACAGTAAAGGAGTTTAAGCATGCGTGGGGTATGCATAAGGCTATCCTAACTATAAGATAAGGCCAGGGACTAATGAAAGTATTTTTAAAAAATTGGGCAGAATAGATGGGCCGAAGGGTTCTTATCTGCCGTCACATTCTAAATTCCAGGTTTTGTTTGGATTAGAACTTGTACGAGTACGATTGCCCCTGTCTTTAAGGTATTAAATGGATGATAAAAAGAAAATTGACTCCCCTGAGCATATAAAAGGTTAGTAGACAAACATTCAGTTTTTCTTAATTTCTAGTCGGGAAAAAAAAAAAATCATTGGTGGTTCTTAAGAAGTCTATCACATTCCTAGAATTTAGGTGGAATCTGTATTTGCTTCCCTTCAACCCAGAAAGCATTAATCTCAGTTAACAGTTACCTGTTAATGCTGCATCCAAATACCCTTCTCTGGGGGGGCAGATCTTGACTGCCAACCTGACTAGATGCCATTTTCACCAGCTCTTCAGCAAAACTATCTAATGCTGGTAATATCTGCATTTCTGAGGCCAATCCAGCATCACAAACTATCTAGCCTGATTTGGCGGGACAAACTGCACTGATAGATGACTTTCATCCTTTCCCAAAAGCAGCCCAGATGGAAACACAAATCCGGGGCTACTTCAAGGCATCATTCCCAGGCCTGGAAGAACTCCTAAGTGATTGCTCAGCAGAGACTGCTGCTGCATCTCCCTCATAGACTATTACAGGCCTGAATATGGACAGTGGGTCACCAATACCAAGAAACATCGTAGCGATACTGCAGAGAACTACGCAGCCCAGATCCGCTGCCACAGAAGACCTGCAGGTTGTAGACCTCAATCCTGCACCGGTACAAGGAGGACCAGAGAAACAGCCAGAATTCTGGGCTCCACAACCTCCTGAAAAGCCTTCAGACAACTAATCTGCAACCACCAAACGTCCACCGAGATGTGTTTATTACTGTACAAGACATGATCCACATTATATCGGCACTGAAGGGCAAAACGCCTTTGACTTTTGAGAACTCTTGTCTTTATTCCAAAACCTTACAAAAGCCACTCATGTGGTGTTAAAGGGATTCTATAGGGCCAGGAAAACAAAGCAGTTAGGCTGAATTAAAAAAAAAATAAAAAAAAAATCTTGATAATCAAAAAGGAAGGTTTAGAGATTTTAAGCATCTTGCAAAAGTTTCCATGATTATCCATTACTAGAGCAATGTTGTTAATCAGCTCATGGATGGATATAATATTTAGGAAACCTTGGGCTCAACGCCAGACCTTTAAAACTCTTAATTGTTGAGAAACACTCCAAACATTCCAGCTCGCTGTAGAGGTTATGATGTCAGTAGCCAATTTTTTTTTCCCCCCCAACAGTTTGACTTTTTAACTGGGATCCAACGTGCACTGCTCCCTATTCCAATGCAGGAATGTCAGGAAACCTAACAGAAGTTCATGCTAATGAATGTTGTAGAAGGAGAGAAGGTTGAAAACTAGTTTTTAAAAAGTGAAATAGTTCTATGTAGTGCTGCCTGTTCTGTAGAGTGGATAAAAACCTTTTAATATGCACTGATGCCATCTGTATTAGAAAAGTTATAATGGATGGTATTCAGGAGTTTGTTCGTTTATATTCTCCAGTTTATACCACAGACAGTTATTCAAAAGCTGTCATAATTGGGAGCATCCAATGTAAAACAGAATTCAGTATATAATTGTCCCCATGCAAGTTGCATGTAGTTAAGGGTTGATTTCCCTATTTATAGTGAATACAATTAAACTTACCTAAAGTAGATGTGATTACTCGAATTTTAGGTCCATTTAAAAACAAAGATTTAAGTGATAGATTGTGGTTAAGAGCTTTTAGTGCGTGACAACACATGTTAAAACTAGGTATGGTTTACTTGTCATAGAAAAAGTATAAAAATAAAAAACATTTTAAAATCTCTTTTGCATGAGATCAGTTTAGTGTACAGTTCATAAAAATTTAAAGGAAGCAAATTTTGAAGGGAAAAAAAAAGTGATATATGCAAAACCTCTGTATTTAGCATTGAAAATGATAAATTCAACAGATAACTTTCTCCGTATTTGTCTTAGAATTGTGCTTAAATCCCTGCACCGGAACAGGTATACATAAAACAGAAATTGAAAACAGTGTATAGAAAATTGAAATCAAGAAAATCTGTTAGAAAAACAATGAGCTTCTTCAAAATGCCCATGCATGTTTTATTAATAAAACAGTGCCAAGTTAAACAAATCATTTAATAACTCTGTATAGTTAATAAAATTACATAAGTGTTGTAGTTTATTTTTTACAATTTCATTTTTGTAACAAGCAGTCAATGGTAATTCTGCATTTTATTTTATGTTTAACTGTCTGAAAGTCACCAATCTACTGCCTTAAAAGTCCTCAAAATATTAACAATAAAAGGATTTTCAATTCATGGGTGGGATGGGGTAAGGTGTAAAACTGTTAAAACTATAATTTCAACCTTAGAATAGATTACAAGTAGAGATTTAGGAAACAAGTACAGAACATTTGTTCTAGTACACTTTTTTTTTTTAAATGATGCTTATGTAAACAACTATAGAACATAAAAAATAATCAAAAGTTTGCCTGTAACAATCAGGCAAATCATACTATAAGCAACATAGAACCTTCAAGACATTTCAAATAGCTGCACCAGCACTGCAGAAAAACATTTGCAGGGTATTACTCTTTTCCCCACATACAGATTAATAAGTATTGAGGAAAAAAAAAAAAAAAAAAAAAAGAAAGAAATAAAAAAAACTCCTATTTACTTTAATTCTAATCAAACCATCTGGGTGCAAGAAAAGAAATAATTACTTCTTTGGCCAAGGCATGATTTCACAAAACTATTTCTATTGCCATGTTACTGGCAATATTGTTACTCCAAATAAATGGTCATTTTGAGAAAACCCATTTATTTTTCATATTAGGACACCATTTTATTTTTTGACAAATACAAAAACAATTGAGAATATTTTTTTGCAAAATTCTAAATGGGCTAATGAAAACAATCAAATAAAAATAAATTACACAAAAAAAAAAAAAAAGCAAAACAAAAAACAAGGGAGAATATGTGAAACTATATAAACACTGCCACACCACAAAAATATATGTAATTTGAACATCCCTTGGTTGGGTATGAGAGTTAATTAACCTTATCAATATTTTGTTAGGAGTGCCATTAAAAGGTTTATTTAAAAAAAAAAAGCAAAAAAAAAAAAGCATACTCCTCCATTAACAAACCAATAGATTCCTGAAGCTTTTAAATTGAAGATATAAATGAAGATATAAATGAAACACATTAGTCGTCGTCATCATTTTCATTAAATTCATCATCTTCCTCTTCGTCTTCTTCACCAATACCAGACACCGGGGTTTCCACTCTGGAGCTACTATACTGAGATCCATTCGAACTAGTTGCCAGCATTCCATCTGTAGAGCCAGTCATGTCACTGAAAAAAAAAAAAAAAAAAAAAATTATATATATATATATGTATTTATATTTTCTTTCATTATACACATCTGTGTCACTGAATTCTGCAGAATCTGATTTTAACCTCATGGGCACCGAAGCAAGAAAAGGAAAAGGACAATGGGAATCAAAGATATTGTAAGAGTAAAATGACATACAAGACAGGTAAGCCATTGTTTCGACCAATGTTAAACCTCACCTACTAAAACATATCAGCCCTAAAAAAAAAATAATAAAAAAAAAAAGCAGTTTATGTCACATTCAGTCTCATTGCCATTGAGGAGTTAATCCACAATGCCACACATCCCCTGGCTGTTACTATCATAACCTGCATGATAAAAAAAATAAAAAAAATATGTCATTATACATCAGATGTTAACTTTCTTTAGAGGCAGTCATCTCCTGCTCTGTAAACTGAACTGTAATCACACACAGGAAGCACCCGCAGGTTTCTATAAAGCTATTAAAAGCAGATGTTTTAAACTTGGATCTCTCATAATAGGAAATGTTTATAAGGGCTTTGAAAGTCACATGCTGAGCTGTGTGACTTGGGCTGTATAAAAAAAAAAAAAAAAGTTATTAACTCATAAATGTCAGAGAATTAAGCAGGGAGACTGCATGGGCATGATCTATACACAAAAACAGATTAAGCTAAAGTTGTTTTGCTGCTTATAGTGTCCCTTTAAAGAGACATTCTAAGCAAAGTAACCTTTACAGCTCACTAGAATAATTATGTTGGCTAGAGGGCCAGGATGAAGTGCACCCAGTACTCTAAACAAATGTCAGTCAAAAAGTTTATAGTGTAGCTAGGACCTGTTGCTGTCACAATGCACACGCGACTGTATAACTGCAACAAACTGCAAAATTTATTTTAGATTTAAGACCACACAGTTTAACCATGACTGTCCAAGTAAATGCTTGGAGTATACAGTCTTGTTGCATATTTAGCTCATTTAAAAACAGAATAGAACCATCAATAAGGAAGTGGTAATGTATGAAATTCTCATCTACTATTGAAAAAGAAAAAAAACATTTGCAATGAACTGAGAAATGAAATTATATTAGGTGTAAATTAGGGTCACAATAAACAGATTAATTTGCATAAATAAATTCCCACCTGGCTGAAAACCTCCTGCCATTTGAAAAAGAACCTGATGAAGAGGATACATAGATATTGCCAATAGATCCCTGAGCCATTTCTGAGGTGGATAAAATAAGAACACAAAGAAGTTATCAATATACATCTACATGCCAAGTATACAAGATAACATACGGATTTGTGATGCAAACACATTTGTCCTGTAAATTATACAGAATTTACTGAACAATTCAGTTTCTAATTTATGGGTATTCTAGATAGGACATCTACACTTTTATTTATATGCAATCAAGGTTTACTCTGTTATACTTTTGTGCATATCCCCTAAATTGGTAAATTGGTTTGCGTCTTCAGGACTGGGTTGGAAACCACTGTTCTAAATTCAGTGTTACTTTGTGTGTGGTCCATCTTAGTTGGAAAAAAACACAAAAAGGAGATGAGTACACAAATCACAAAGAAATTAGATGTCAAGATTGTTGGATCAGCCTTCTGACAAACAGTCTTTATAGAAAGCATGAAGGTAAAACACAACCTCTAAGCTGGTAAATAATGTCAGAAGGTATAAACAGACAAAGATTTATTCCAGTAATGTACCTTTAATAAACAGTCTGAACACTATACTGCCATACCAACCACATTATGTCCAAAGTATAGCTGAAATCATTTGCCTCCCATACACATCTTAAAGTGACATTGTCACCCACCTAGAAAATGTCAAAGATATAGTCTTTATGAAATACTCATAATGACTGTTGGAATTTCCAACCCAGTTAAGAGATATACAAAAGTAAAGTAGTCCCTACTTTGTCTAAGTATATTTCCTACCTCAGACACTTCTAGATGGTCATAGCACTGCCCAGTGTATAGACATGTCGATCCAATGCCAGTCGTTAACCTGTGATGGTTGCGGGGAGTTGTCCTTAATTATGGTGAAACACATAGTGATCCTCCATAGACCTAAATGTTGTACTCTCGCGCAAGCTGAAGTGCCAGGAGTTAAAGAGGACCAGCCAGCAGTAGATTGCAGCGCCCATGATGGACAGGTTCAGTTGAGTACAACTCACCTTTGCCTGCCCCCTCCCAGCCACTGTACTTCCAGTGGTGATTCCACATTCTGGACTTTTTTTTGTGGAAATTCTGCAAAGACCCCAGTTGTGACAGTGACGATTTAATTGTATTTTTGGTATAAAGATAAATTTGATGACAAGGTTGTTTTTTTTTTTTTTAAGGGACACTATACTCACCAGAACAGCAATAGCTTATTGTATTTGTTCTGGTGAGTATAATTATTCCCTTCAAGGTTTTTTTTTGTTTTTGTTTTTTTTAAGTCAACACCTTTTTTCAGAGAAACCGTGTTCAGTGTCTTCACCCTCTAAATGGAGACACTGAACTTTCCTCATAGAGATGCACTGATTCAATTAATTTCTATGAGGAGATGCCGATCGGCCAGGGGTGTGTTTGGCTTGTGCCGACTCTGCCCTTGATCTGCCTCATTGATAAGCTCAGTCAATCCAATGCTTTCCTTTGGGAAATCATTGTGATTGGCTTTGAATAACACTTCTGATGTCAGCCAAGCAGCAAGATTAGGGGCAGAGCCAGCAGCAGCAGACTAATACAAATAATATTTTACTATATTTAGGGGGGGCAGATGGTGGTTTTAACACTATACAGTCAGGAATACACGATGCTATAGTGTTCCTTTAACACTATGCAAGCAGCTTTGAATAAAACTGGCAACAAATGTATCAAATCTACCATGATTTAAACAGTATACCCAGGGCCGTCTTTAAGGAGGGGCAAAAGGGGAAGCTGCCCCGGGCCGAGTTACTCCTGGGGGCCCTAAGGCAGCTGCCCCATGGGCCCCCTGCGGCACCTGAGGTAATCAGGGGCCACAGCCCTTTAATACTGCTCTAGACCGGCCGGGGCCCCTGTTATATGGGGGGTGGCTGACTACATACTCACAGCTAGCCCCCTCACATACTGCCCTGTGAGTCTCTGTTTCCTGGGCATGCTGGGAGGAAGTGAGGTCAGATTGCTTCCTCCCAGTAAGAACTGATCACTTCCTCCTCAGTGCCGCTGGGGAGGAGGCACACACCACATGGAGGAGGATGCAAGCATTGTGGGGGAGAGGGACTGAGAAAGCTGATGGCAGACTCCCATCAGCCTGGGCCAGCAAGCTCTCACTGGACACCAGGGAAGCCACCTTTCTGTACCCAAAATGTAAGGAGACAGGAGGGTGGCTAAATATGTTTTGTTTTTTGTTTTGCTAATTTCTGATATCACTTTTATTTAAGTGTGTTGGTGTTTGTAATGTAACACACAGGGAATAAGTACATGTTAAAAATCCTAGAAAAACCTGACCGTTCCCTATTAAATATAAAATGTAAAAGTATTTATTTTAACATATTGCATCAAGTGTTATCAAAGGCTGAACACCATTTTCAAATGTCACTTTTGCCAAATTCTGGACCAGGGTATGTAAGAACAGAGTTGAGACATTATATTGGCTAAGGTTGCTGGGAGTTGCTGTCCAAGAGTTGCTAGAAGGCAGAGATTAAAATATGTAAATGTACATATATATATATATATGTGTGTATCTGGCTGTGTTTATGTCCTTGTGTGTATCTGGCTGTGTGTCAGTGTTTCTGTGTGTATGTATACCTCATACACCTGTATGTGCACCTGTGTGTGTGTTTCAGTGTGTGTGTGTAAGTGTTCATCTGAGTGTGTGGTAATGCATACACCCCAGCATTTTAATGCCAACACAAATACACTCCTACATTCCATCTCTAGCACTATACACATATACACCCCTGCATTTATACCTTTATGTATGTGTGTATCTGAGTGTGTGTGTATATACCTGTGTCAGTGTGTGTGTGTATGTGCCAGTGTGTGTATATCAAAGTGCTTGTATCTGTGTGTCAAAGGGTGTGTATCAGTGTGTGTGTGTGTGTGTGTGTGTGTGTGCCAGTATGTGTCAAGGTGTGAGCATGTGTCAGTGTGAGCATGTGTGTATCTGCGTGTTAATGTGTATGTGTTATAGAAATCACACAACATGCAAACAGACCCCTGCAAACACAAACATTACAAACACACCAGTTTGCTGAAACACTAATACTACACACAAATGTACACATGTATTTAAAAGACAACACTACATCCAAACACCCCCCTGCATGCAAATACAAACATTACATGCAAACACATTCCTGTATTAAAACGCTAAAATTATATACAAACACCAACTCTACACACAAAAGTACACCTGCATTTAAAAGCCAACACTACAAACAATCACACATCCCTGCATTAACCCCTTAAGGACGGAGCCAAATGTACACGTTGTGAACAAAACAAAATGTAAACAAAACCTGGCATTTGCGCTACATGTCTGTCCAACCGTAATACACCTCTTTCATAGTAAATGCACTTATTTTATATCATTTTATTCAGGATGAACAGGGCTTTCATTTAATATCAAATATTTACTATGAAACATAATTTAATATGAAAAAAATGGGAGAAAATACGATTTTTAAAAAAAAATTTTAGTTCTACATGACATTTTAACGGTCAGTGTCATAATACTGTTTGCTTTTACTGCAATAAAATACACATTTGTATTCAGTAAAGTCTCACGTGTAAGACAGTACCCCCATGTACAGGTTATATGGCGTTTTGGGAAGTTACAGGGTCAAATATAGCACGTTACATTTGAAATTGAAATTCGCCAGATTGGTTACGTTGCCTTTGAGACTGTATAGTAGCCGGGGAATGAAATTTACACCCATAATGGCATACCATTTGCAATAGTAGACAACCCAAGGTATTGCAAATGGGGTATGTCCAGTCTTTTTTAGTAGCCATTTGGTCACAAACACTGGCCAAAGTTAGCGTTAGTATTTGTTTGTGTGTGAAAAATGCAAAAAACGCCAATTTTGGCCAGTGTTTGTGACTAAGTGGCTACTAAAAAAGACTGGACATACCCTGTTTGCAATACCTTGGGTTGTCTACTATTGCAAATGGTATGCCATCATAGGGGTAATTTTCATTCTTGGGCTACCATAGGGTCTCAAAGGCAATGTAACCAATCTGGCGAATTTTAATGTGAAAAAAATGAAACGCAAGCCTTATATTTGACGCTGTAACTTTTGAAAACACCATAAAACCTGTACATGAGGGGTACTGTTGTACTCGGGAGACTTCACTGAACACAAATATTTGTGTTTCAAAACAGTAAAAAGTATCACAGCAATAATATTGTCCATGTAATGCTGTTTGTGTGTGAAAAATGCAAAAAACGTCACTTACTGGCGATATCATCGTTGTAATACAATTTACTGTTTTGAAACACTAATATTTGTGTTCAGCGAAGTCTCCCGAGTAGAACCGTACCCCACATGTACAGGTTTTATGTTGTCTCGGAAAGTTATAGGGTTAAATATAGTGCTGGCAAATTAAATTCCCTTTACTTTCGGTATGGGTTGTCAGGCAGGTCCTGCTAATTGTAATTAATTAAGATACCTAATTATGTAAAAATATTACATAAATATATATGTAGAATTAATATATGTATATATATATATGTGTATATATATGTATATATCTATATAATTTTAAAAAATATTTTTATTTATATAGGTATATATATATAGTGATATATACGTATATATTTATGTATATAGATATATATATTATTTTGTTCTACGTGTATTTTGATATATATATATATAATTTCACAATACAGTTAGAACGAAATAACACACATCTATATATTTTTTAATTATTTATTTTTAATTATTTTTTTAATTTTATTTTTTAACGTATTTACATTTTAATTTTTTTTATATTATATATAAATATATATATAACAATAATTATATATATATTTAATCAGTATCAGTCTACGTGTAATTTGATATTAATATATATATATTATATATATATTAATAGTAAAATACACCTAGACGGTGTACATTTGTGTATGTATATGTGTATATATATACTTAGATCATATATATATATATATATATATATATATATATATATATATATATATATATATATATATATATATATATATATATATATATATATATATATATATATGATCTAAGTATATATTATTTTTTTTTTTACACCATTTATTTGTTTTAATTTTATTTTCAGCCAGCAGGGGGACCACCTGTCATTACAGGCAGCCCCCCTGCTGGCAATACAGAAGCCAGCTATCCCCGGCCATGTGATTGTGGGGTCCTCGCAAGGACCCCACTCTCACACGGCCGGGGGGCTTCGTGGAAGACGGACGTGCCGCGGGGGCTCCCTGGGAGTCCCCCCCACCGCGATCGCCGGCGTGGGACCGCCGGCGATCGGGTAAGTACCGAAAGACCGGAGGGCGTACTATTACGCCCGGCGGCGTTTAGAGCCGCCTATAATAGGGCGTAATAGTACGCCCTCCGGTCTGAAGGGGTTAAAATGCAAACACTACACACAAGTACACCACTGCATTCCAATGGTAACAGTACATACAAATACACTCCTACATGCACACATACACTCTATACAATAACATGCTGACATTCATTTGCACAAACACTGCTCAAAAATACAACCCTGCAAGGATGGTAGATCCCCAGCTGGCATAGCATCGCAGGAGTTGTATGACAGATTGGGATCTATCTTTTCTTTACTCTTGTGCTACAGGGAAGGCCTGAATTTTTTTTTGTTGCACCAAGGCACTCTCTACATTAGTTTCGTCTCTAGGTTGGGGTGGAGGGAGTGATTGCATGCCCAGGGGGCCCAAACAGATGCTTGCCCAGGGTCCAATGAAGCCCTGCACCCAAACTCCCACTACTCCTGGGTGGCAGTAATGACTACAGTACAGATCAGCCCAAATCTCTATTTAAAATTGGCTTGCATTGATGCAGTGATACATATTGGAAAACAGCAAAGAACTGTTCAGTTCAACACGGTTTCAGTTTAACTAATGAATAAAGTGAGAAATTTTCCAAATTAAAGAGAAATGAGCCAAATTAAAGTTATTGAGTGAACTGACCCCTTAATATTGGATAACATTTTCTCATGCCCTGGATCCATGGCAATCTGCTCTGCATGTCCAGACAAGTAACAAAATAACATTTCCTTATCCATACATCCTTATTAAATACGTGCTGTCTGTCTGTCTGTGACTTAGCTAACCCTTTCCGTGCTGCATCGGAGAGCCACAAAGAAAAGTGTTTCGTTGCACTATTCTAACAAACCCATAGATAAATGAAACAGGTTTTGTTAATGCTTAAGCTACTATATATATATATATATATATATTAATATTAAAGAAACATTTACCTGGCGCCTTTAATCGATCCTGGTAATCCGGATGATATGGATCCAAACTTTTCATCAGGGAAAATATAGAGAGTGCGAAAAGTCCAATCATAATGCAGTAGAAGGCAGCATAGTAAAGACTAATGTATACTGTGAGGAACAAAAATGTGCACAGGTTTTAGTTGTATGTCTGAAGCATTACATAAAATATGTATTTTAACTGCCATGTGCTTTAAACTCCACATAAATCTTGACTTTATGTTTTATATTAGAACCTTCTTGATTTGTGCAGAGATATAATGGAAACTGAGTAGAATCCCAATGACATTATCTGGAACCTCACTTTTAAGAAAGTGAAGATACAACATAACATAGGTCAGGGGTCCAGGCATATGGCTCCACTTCCCCTAATCCACCCTATCGTATCCCACCTCTGAAACCAGATTGAGCTGTGTGTCGGACTCTGTGAGTTGAAACATTGCAAGTTACAACAGCAGGTTGGCTATGCTGATTAGACTGTCTAAATTTGGTGCAGATCTATAAACTGTGTGACACCCACCCCGTTTAAATTTTTGCCGCACTCTACTACCAATGGCGAGTCGTTTTTGCTATGGAACTATTGTTTGTACCAGCACAAAATTTGTTGTATGCACAAGATTGCTTTTGTATGAATTAAATTGAAGATATGGATACCCCTCACCCCTGACTTTGGGTTTTCCAATCTCCAACTTTGCTTTACGGTATATTATAAATATACAGCTTTATGAATCAGTATACATGGGAAGTTAGAGGCAGAAAATCATACTCAGTAATCGATGTGTGCATACAACTGAAAAAAATGTTTTTGGGGAAATGTTGGGGGAGATTTATCCACAGAGTCGCCAACACCTTTAGGTGTAATTTTTGGCAAATATTTGGAGCAATTTATAACATTTTTGTGTATTGCTTCTTTTGAGCCTTAACCATCATTTTTTATATATGCCATTTTTGTTAATTCCAGGTTTGTCCTGAGAAATATGTCTAATTTTGTCCATTGTTGAGCCATTAACAAGTAGTGCAAGGTTTTGCTTTACTTATTAGATTCCATTTTGACTGTAAATGGAAACACTTTGCAGTTCTAGAAATGCTATGGCCTTTTATACTTATCAAAAGCAATTAATGATAAATATTAACCTACCCCACTTTTCAAGGGTTCTTCCCATTAGCTCCCCCGTGTCAGAGTTCCACATAAAACGTGAAAAGTTCTCCATGCGTTGGCTGCAAGTCTTCTTCTCATTGAACGTTGCCATTTTCCAAAACTAAGATGGAATCCTTTCTACAGCAAAAAATCCAAGACTCAAGAAGCAGCCTCGTATTGCATTGTATCATCTCTTATATAGCATCGGTTGAAGGTTGTTTAGATGACATTGAATTCTTCCATCAAATCAGAAGAAATATTCTTCACACATTAGCATAATTATCTCTCTGTAAAGTATTGCTGATAGCATGAAGCAAAGAATTTGTGGATATCATATGCCCTTCCATTTTCCCCTACTTCGCTTCTTACGTATTTTCTACACTTGGTATGTTGTATGTTCTCTCTGATTACTTTATTTGTTTTGATAAGGGAGAAACAGTACAGTTACTAATTGAAATGTCTGATGACATTTTTTCAAACAGGCAGGGTAGAGGAAAAACACCAAATCTTTTAACTGACAAATCATCAAGTTCATTGATTATTGAAGGGCCTTTACGTTGGTTTTATTGCAATTGTATTGTGTAATGATCCCAAAAGGTGGAAAATTTCAATTTCATAGAAGAAGGCACACAGGTTGTTTTCTAAAAGTGAAGAAAAATACAAAATTCCCACCAAAACAATGCTTTTTTACAATATAAAAGATAGCAATATTTTAAAACCATGCACACTGGAACATAGGATACATAGAAAAGTAAACAGAAAGAATATAAATATAAAGTTGCACTGAAGATATAATAGCTGATGTTGCTCGTAGCTCTACAAGCAAGAATAGCTATTATGTTTTCAGTGCAACTTTATATTTTTTCTGTTTTTAATATGAACTTATTGAATGACTGAATAAATCATGGCAAGCAACAGTAGGCAACCTATATATAAATCCATGATGTCAATAACATATTTAACTGAAAATACCCCCCCTTCAAACCAGACCCCTTTTTGCTACACTGTATGACAACTGCTACCTCTGTTTATAAAAAGTTAATGACAATAATAATAATGATATTGAATTCTGTGAAAACTCTGATTCCTCTATTCTGGAGAATGACAGACTTGCCCACTTTGCAACTTTGGAAGAGCCATGTTGGAAATTATTTATAGTGCTTTATAGTACATTCAGACATATACAGCAATTTGGGCCCCTGGCTGGTGAGCACAGGGTCACAAGATTTTCAGTCATTGGTGGGTTCTATCTTGGTAATCCTGAGACTCTAAATTTGTTGAAAATCCAATTAATTGTATGGTTTATTGGTGCCTGGTGTGCTGGGTACTTCCCAACTCTCCCTTCTCCTTCCTCTTCTTCCCAGCCTCTCCCCTCCCACCTTTTCTTTCCCTTGTGTCTCTTCTTCTTCTCATTTGGTTTAAGTGTTTTCATTTTAACTTATGCAACCTTGTATTCTGAAACGCTTGCAATCAAAATTGCTTTACTGGATACATGTAAAGTTGTGTACTGGATAATTATGGTACATTTTATCTCCTTTCAATAAGATTTAGAAGACTGGCTTAACTTTGTTCCAGCTTGAAAATGGATAACACAATGTTCCAATCACTGGGAAAGTCATCTCAAAATGATATATAGAGGATACCTCATAGAATGCATAAAATGAATCCTAATTTTACTGAAATGTTGAAGAATTTGGGGCCTGGTAAGAACCCTTTTCCATTCATTTTGGCATTGCTCAAAATTAACCAATTATTGGAATAAAATTCATTAATCAAATTAAAAAAGCTAATTCTAACATTTCTTACTTCTAAACTGGCCCTCTTGAAACAATTCTCTGATAATTTTGAAAAAGTTGATAAAAATACAATTGGCCATTTACTAATTTAGAAAGTTAACTGATACTTATCGTAATTTTCTTGGATAGTCTTGGATAGATCCAAGGCAGCATCACAATCGGGTTAGCTCCACCCACTTGGCTGTTTAGGACAGGAAATACATTATAAATAGGACCCTTCTGAGTCCCTAGTTTTGTAACACGCTCAAAGGTCTATAAGTAGAAACAAATGAGAAAAAGGAAGTTCCCTTTATATGCAATTATATGCAATTACAATAAGAATGAAAAGCAAATAAAGAGAATAATAACCAAATTTTGGCCAATATCAAGAAAGGACCCTATGTTGTTTAACATTCTCCAAGAAAAACCGAAGATTATATTCAGAGGAGAAAAAAGCATGAAACAAATACTAGTATAAAATTATATCAAATCTAATCCTTCAAAAAATGTGGCCTCTGTCTAGCTTGCAGAAACACAAAAAGCAAGAAGACATATATAAAGACATTTAAAGATCCACATGATAAAAATAAAATACAAAAAATTCAAGACATGATAACGTGCTTCTCAAAAAATGTTATATATCTTTTAACTTGCACATGTCACATGCTATGGAGGGAGACTCAAACGCCTCCTGAATGTAAGAATGAATGAGCATGTAAGAAATATAAAGAATGGATACCAAAAACACAGTGTCTCCAGACAATTTTAAAAAAGTGCATAATAGTGATCCACAATTTTTACAATTTATGGCCATTCAGAAAGCAAAATATAATTGGCGAGGTGATGATAATATTAAAACATTGGGAACATGTGAAGTGAAATGGATCTTCAATCTGAATACTTTAAATACTTCTAAATCTTCATGCAGCCCGAGCCACATCTTCCCTGGCTGTGACTGACACAGCCTGCATGAAAACAAAATTATTTTCAATCAGATGTAACTAAATGTAAATGTTTTTATCTCCTGCTCTTTAAAACTAACTTTAATTACAAACGTGAGGCTCCTGAGAGGAATAAGCTATTAACAGAGCAGGAAATACAAGATTCTTAATTTTAAACATAATTTGCAATAAAGGAAGTGTAAATATTAGGTGACTCTTAATGGGAATTGTTTAGGAAGTCACATGCAGGGAGGTGTGCCTAGGGCTGTGTAAACAAAGTGATTTAACTCCTACGTGGTAGATAATTGAGCAGTGAGACTGCAGGGGCATGAACTATACACCAAATCTGCTTCATTAAGCTAAAGTTGTTTTGGTGACTATAGTGTCCCTAAACAGCAGCTTACTAAAGCACAAATTACAGCTATCTTAACTAGTTTAGAGATAAGTCTTGTGGGGCAGTAATCAAAAATTTCCACAGCTATATGTACCAATAATATCTAATAGGAAAATACTTTATTAGGTAAGACAAGAAAATAATGATACAAATTGAACTTAAAGGACCACTATAATGCCAAAACATACTTGTTTTCCTGGCACTATAGTGCCCTCAGGGTGCGCCCACCTTCAGGGTCCCCCTCCCGCCGGGCTTAGGGTGAGGAAGGGGTTAAACTTACCTCTTTCTCCAGCGCCGGGCGGGGAGCTCTCCTCCTCCTCTCCGCCTCCTCTCCTTCTCCTCGGCTGAATGCGCATGCGCGGCTCTTGAATGTAAGAATGAATGAGCATGTAAGAAATATAAAGAATGGATACCAAAAACACAGTGTCTCCAGACAATTTTAAAAAAGTGCATAATAGTGATCCACAATTTTTACAATTTATGGCCATTCAGAAAGCAAAATATAATTGGCGAGGTGATGATAATATTAAAACATTGGGAACATGTGAAGTGAAATGGATCTTCAATCTGAATACTTTAAATACTTCTAAATCTTCATGCAGCCCGAGCCACATCTTCCCTGGCTGTGACTGACACAGCCTGCATGAAAACAAAATTATTTTCAATCAGATGTAACTAAATGTAAATGTTTTTATCTCCTTTTTTTGTTTGTGTGTTTGTGTGTTTTTCTAGGACCGTAAATGTAGATCTCACCTGTTTTGCTAGCACAATTATCTATGCACATTATTGCACTGGTGCCTATTACGAGTAGCTTTTTTGCTACTTTTACACTGTTGCTACTTTTGTGGCAACGTAGTATCCAGGCACAGTATATAGTTATGTGCAGCCCAGAGTGACTCTCCAGGTCCTCTTTTTTTATCCATTTGTAACAGTTGAGTGTATTACAGACTTTTATTATTTTTGGACTACATTAAAACTTTATTATTTTTTGTTTAATCTGTTTAATACACAGGAGTTAAGTGCACTGTTTATTGCTCCACAAGGGGTACTAGCTGTGAGTTGTTCTGTCTCCCATGTTTAAGGGATCCTTACTCCTCACCTTCTTTTTGTTTAATTATTGTTATAAGGGTTAGGCCCTCTTTAGTACCCCTGTAATCCATCTTGGTGTATCCTTTTTGCTGAATTTGTCAGCTAAAGGAACACTGTATCTATATTTGTCTTTTGTTATTGAAGGTTTTAATACCAGGTTTACTGGAGCAATAAAATATAAAATATATTAGACTCTTATATAGAAACTATACATACTATTTTTCATCCATATTAAAAATATGGCAGGTTTTCTATCAAATAGGCTAGACAGCAACATTTGGTGCAAAGATGCAGACAATGTCTTCTCAAATATAGAACTTAATTCGAGTATATCTACACCTAACATCAACCAATCGTTCAATAAACTTCAAAGTCTATATAAAAAACAAATCCGTACATGCTGGGAGATTTCCTCATTAGAGAACTATATAAAAAAGAGTATGATACCTAGAGGACTAAGGATTAGGAATACTCCATCCTCTTACTCTGAGAATAAGGCTCTGATGGATGAATGGGAAACAGCAGCAGGTATATGTTCGAAAACATTTATGCAGATTATCTGCAAGTTTGAACATGAACAACTTAATACAGTCAATAGTAATTTGGAGGAAGAAGTAAATGCAATTAAGCAATTCCAAGAGGACCCTAATTTTGCATTCTTAGAATCTAGGTTGAAACAAAACCTGGACAAGTACCAGGACACAATTAAATCAAGAAAACACTATAAATTTTTAAGGGATTTACAGGACTATGACACTGGGAATGTCTATAAATCTTTTAACCGCAGAATTAGACGTACCTCAGAGAATCTACTGACGTCAGATTATGACTCATCCGACACAGACTCTAGTAGTCAACAAACAATATCCGACTCCCAAATCCAACCATCCACCTCTACAAATAACTCTAACCC